ACAAAGATGTTTTCATACATCCACGAAGAACACTCACAGCGGCAATTCCAACATCGACTTTTCAACAGGATAACCCACCGCCGTCAGTGCGACGCCGTGCCCACCTCTGTAACCGTCTTCCATCCCCCTCATCACAACGGAGTCTCAGACAATACTGTGACCCCCCAGCACCTCATCCACGCTTTACTCCCGCCTTGGCCGCGCGCTCTCGCCGTCGCTTGCATTCCCAGGAAAATGCATGACGTGATGTGTCTTTGTCCAACGCCTCGTCGGCATTTTTACCAGTGGTTGACGGAGGTGACGCTGACATGTATTCTTCCGTATTGGGGTTTTCTGATGAGCTCCCTTATTAGCTCCAGATGACTGAATGTTCACTCTCGCTATACACCTTCATCGGCGGCGCCGTGTAGGCAATCTGCCGCTTTGGAAGAGTTCTGTCCTTCGCTACCCGTTTCACTGGTGGTGCTACCTGTTGAACCTGTCCTCTTAGCGTTCCCTCGGAGAACCGCAGCTGTCGGCTTGGGCTTGTTTTTCCCCGACCGTCTAGGTGCTGTTCTGTTAACGCTCCCTGGCAAACTTCTGTGGCTGAAAATATCTGTTTCAACCGCGATGAGCCGCCCTTTGTCTGCTGACGGCACATTTCTCCCTTCAAAATACCGCGGCGCATGATAGGCAAGGACAGACCATCACGGACTGTTCCAAAAGAGCTACCCCTACCAGCCAAACGGCTTGATCTGGCATTATTTCCCTTTCTCTGCACGAGGATCGGGGGTGGAAATATCAGACCGTCTTGCTGTGCCGAGTTCTGATAAATATTTGAGTGGTTTTCTGACGAAGGCGTCTTTAGTCCCCTTGGGTGGCTTTGCATTGCCTCCGAAGAGTCCCACGACTTTGATGAAGTGAGGTACACCTTTACTGGCCTGCAGAGTGTGTCCGTCAAGAAGAGCTGCGCGTCCTGCACGACCTTCTCAATTCCTCCTGTTCCCTTGATCAGCAGCGCCTCACGTTTGCACTTCCCCCTTGTGCCATCATTCAGCTCAGCATCGGCATTGTCTATAAACTTTCGAACGCTGCCGTCGCACGGCAAATCCATCTTCATCTCCTGCAAACGTAATCCGATATTGAGCGCGGCCCGGTTTTCGACACTGAAATCCACCACCGAGGCAAATACGGCCTTTGCCGAGGTGGCAAGCACATTAGTCAGAAGGAACCCCAGGTCGCGCTCTCTCTTCTTCATCGCGATATCATCGAAACGTTTCAGGTGCCCCCCGATCAACACGATATGCATAGCGGATAGAAATACGTCTTTTCCTTCGTCACGCACCTGTTTGAGAAGCACCATTACCCAGACTATGCCCCCTGTATATCTTGACGCGTCGACACCGAGCAGTTTTGCATTCTGAAGGATATCCTTCGCAATCTCCATACCATGATATTCGTCTTTCAATTCCACTGAATTGAGGTTGGCAATACAACTCCCAAAGACAGGGTTCACTCCGATCTCGAGTTTTTCTCTCACGTCCCTGGCGGACGGCCACATCAGATCTGCCACAGTGCCGTCTGGCGGCATAGCGGCGGCGGTGATGACAGTGACACACGGTGTATTTCCCTTTGTGCTTACAGCTGCTGTCTGCCTGGTGAAGGCGACAAACAGGTCTTCCGCGACAGCAATGCTACGTTGGGAATATGCAATAAGGAGGGTGGCGTTGAAACCGGAGGCATACCGCGTGCACAGGTCGTTAAGGGAGCCGTTCTTTATGGATGATTTGTTCTTGTCCCACATCAGCACGTCGTCAGCGGTGCCGTCAAGTCCCTTGATGCCTCCTCCCGCCAAGGCGAATACAAGAAGTGTACGCACCCGATGCGCATCACAAGTTGGCACATCGTCCTCTGTCGTCGGTGTTGTTGTCTTTATGTTCCCGGTATGCTCCTGCAGTTCATCGTTGTACTCGCGCTTTGTCTCAGTGCCATCGTTGAAGGCATACGAGGCAGGAATTCCCCACTGGTCTTCCGACAACGACAATGATAGCGGCGCCGATTCTTTCAGTGATATGCGTTCAAAAATACACGAACCCCACCCACAGCTCCGCGCAAACGACGACTTGTGAGACTTGCCCGCGTTATTGCTGACGCTCACGCTGGGCACCAACTTCGGCCACTCGTCCTTCACACCGATGGAGCTATCACACGGCCCCAGCAGAAACCCGGACGAGTAGCTTGACAGCCAGCGCGACGAGAGAAGCGGCAGATTGTAACCGCCCAGCGGCGACGCGTTCGCTTCGCCGTCCAGGCCTGGGAGACCATGGGTGCTGTTCAGCAGCACTGCGCCACTTCCGACACTTTTCCCCGACATGACGCGCCTTCTGGGGTTATTCTATTGTATGGAAAACGGAGCCAGCACAGGGCACAAATAGCACCAACAATGAAAAAATTTTTTTATTCGCTGTTCCTTCCTGTTTTTTATGTTATGTTCTGTTTGA